AAAAACACTCCAATACATAAGCAGGAACTAACAAGCCCCCCCCCCCCCCCCCCCCACACACACACACACACACAAGAAAACAAGAACAAATAAAACACAAACAAACAAAAAACAAGAATTTGTTTGTTAAATACATTTCACTCACTATCCAGGGAGCTTTGTCAGTTTAAACCTGGAGAGTGTGGCGCTCCTAACGTACTTTTTTATACCACAAAATTTACAAAGTTAGCAGGAAAATGACCAAGTATCAATCTTATTGCTTTATTTTAAGTTTTAGAAAGCCGAAACCTGAAAGTACTTTTTGTTGTTTAAAGTTGTTTTTCTTCTCGTTCTTATAAATGTCTTTCTTTACCCACTTTCTGCCTGGGTTACAAAATCAATCATTGACCTTTGGCCTGAGGTGGCTTGGCACCAAGGATACTTATGCCTGAACCTGGTGCTCCTTATGGACAGCCCATGCCTTGCACAGAAGTCCAGAAATGGGAATCCATTTGAGTTCTGTTCAGGGAGGTCATTCTTCTCAGTCACCCACCTCCAGATAACTCTGTCATTGCCCACATAAGCATTGAAATCACCACATGGCTCAACATAATCCCCAGATGGGACATCATCCAGAGACTACAAGAAGCCAGGTAATCCAGGCATTCAGCCAGGAGTTTGTGAGCATCCCTACTCCCACTCAACAGTCCAGCCTCTCTACAGGAGTTGGGTTCCAGAGGCTAAGCTGTGTGTAAAGGTTAGCCCAACTATATGGGGACAAATTACGGTCTTTTTGAGTCAACCCAATTCATTATGGCTACCACATCTAACTGTCCTCAGAAAACACAAATATGGCTATAACTCAACCATGTTTGTGGATATTTAGCTACAATTTGCAAAGCGCTCACTAACACAAATTTACATAAATTTGTGAGTAATATTTGAAGGAAAATGCCTACTGTGTTCTTAGAAGAAGTCTTAGATCTTTCAGTTCTGCTCATGAAATATGGGAGCAAAAACAAAAGTGTTGCATTTATATTTTTGTTCTGTGTACGGCTTGTTCCACATCAGGAGCACAGAGCAGTGCAGGGAAGGCTTGCCTTGCAACATTTGCAAAGGCCTTGGTATTTTTTCTTGTATCCACAGTGAATGACATCTTTACAAGCCTTGCAGGCTTCAGGCAGCTCTGACCACAAAGGCCTCCGTCGATCTTCTACTTGTGCCCATCCCTACTTCCCAGTTGAAGGTGTCTCTGGTCTAAGGATCAGTGATCTCAAATAAATGCTAACTGGTGCACTGAGCACTTGATGTGTTTCCCGAATGTGCTTTTTTTTTTTTTTTTTTCGTGGGGGGGGGGGGGGGGGGTGTAATATGGTATGACCAATCTTATTTTTTTCATCTTTTTTACACTGTCATAACAGCAAAGGTTATGATGTTTCGAAGCATACTTTAAAAACAGAATGCTATGCATCCTAGAACAAAACTAATATCTTACTGGATTTCCAAGGCCCATGTATATTTGGACACCAAGTTTGCAACTCTAGCCCAACTCTCTTTTGTTTGGCTAAAGGTATAAAACATATTCAGCTATTTTAAAAATGGCTGCCATCACATGTATGTTTTATGACTAAAATTCACCAGAGTTGCACGTTGTACATTTATTAAGTATGCTCTGAGGTCCAGGCTGGTCCAAAGGTGATCAGAACTTTTCAGTTGTAGCTCCTAAACTGTGGAATTAGCTGCCTCCATTTCAGACAGGTTTCTGCTCACGTCTCTTCTTAAGACACATTTGTACCGCACTTTCTGGTCTATGAGCCGTTAGTTTTTTCACAGGCTTTGAAACCAGCGGCTTATACAGTGCTGCGGCTAATTTATGATTTTTTTTTTTTGGACGTGCTAACGAGCTTTCTGCCGCCAAAAACATTTAGCTTTGTCACACCCGGACACTCACATAGCTGCCCAATACACGTCTCTTATAAGGGGGGTGGGTCCTCATCACTTTATTTTACAGTTTAACACACACAGACAGAGTGGTGGAGGGATATCCCCGCCTCCCCGTTCTCTCCTCCCAATTTCATTGTTTCAACTATGACCTGTTTGGTAATTTCATTGGTCAGATTTTTTTAACCCTTTATTTATACAGGTAGTCTCATCAATACACGTCTCTGATGGGAGGTGGGTCCTTGTGACTCAGTGAGACGACCTCATTGGTTCATTGTGGTTGACTGCTGGTCACATGGCCTCAGGGAGGGATTTTGGGTAAAATTTATGTTCATTGTTCATCATTTCAGTTTGCTGTTTAGCATTGTTCTTTTAGTGATTAGTCTGTTCTTGTTATGTGTTCATCATGTGTTAGTTTGCGTTAGTCCATTCAGTAGAGTAACCATTAGTGAGGGGGTAGTTTCATGAAGACCTGTAAGGTTCACTCTGTCTGTGTTGAACAGGAAAATAAAGTCTATAAAGCACCATCTGGTGGTTGATTCTTGATCTACAACAACAACAACAATAATAATAATAATAATACATTTTATTTGCAGGCACTTTTCTTGGCACTCAAGGTCACCTTACATAGTCGAGCATTAAAACAGACACACTATTATATACACAGTAAAAATAAGTACAAAATAGAATTCAAATAAGACAGTGCAGTTGCAATCACAGTGCTTAAGCTATTTTCAACAGATAAGTTTTGAGTCTGGATTTGAAATGTGGCCATGAGTCTGTTGTGAATATCAAGTGGAAGTGAGTTCCAGAGCAGCTGAATGCTCTGCTCCCCATCGTAACAAGACGGGCAAGGGGAACCATGAACTGAATAGAAGAAGAGGATCTGAGGGTACGAGCAGATGTAGCAATGTGAACAAGGTCCGAAAGGTATGGAGGAGCGAGGTGGTGGACAGCTTTGAAGGTAAGGAGGAGTATTTTGTAGTTGACGCGATATGGGATGGGAAGCCAATGAAGTTTTCTAAAACAGGTGTGATATGGTGGATTGAGGGGGTCCGTGTAATGATACGGGCAGCTGAATTTTGGACCAGTTGTAATTTATGGAGGGTTTTCTGAGGTAGGCCAAAAAGAAGAGAATTACAATAATCTAAACGAGAGGTGACCAGACTGTGGACCAGAACAGCAGTGGAGTGAGGAGTAAGGGAAGGACGGAGACGATGAATAATTTGTAGATGAAAGTAGGATGACCGAGTGATATTATTGACATGAGAGGAAAAGGAGAAGGTGCTATCAAGGATTACACCCAGACTCTTAACCTGACGGGAGGGAAAGATGGAGGAGTTATCAACCGGAATGGAGAAGCTATGAAGTTTATTTAGTATTGATTTAGTGCCCATTAAAATAAGTTCTGTTTTATTGCAATTTAGTTTAAGAAAGGTTGAAGTGAACCAGTGTTTTATTTCAAGGAGACAATCAGTGATGGACGAGGGTGGAAGCATAGAGTTAGGTTTGGTTGAGAGATAGAGCTGGGTGTCGTCCGCGTAGCAGTGAAACTGAATATGATGTTTGTGAAAAATGTAACCAACAAAGAAAGAAGGTAAATGATAAATGGAAAGGCTCCGAGGACAGAGCCCTGGAGAACACCTGAGGTAACGGGAACAGGATGAGACATGGATGATTTTAACTGAACAAACTGAGTGCGTCCTGAAAGGTATGAATGGAACCAATTGAGAGGTTAAGAGAGGAAAGTCTGTCCAGAAGAATGTTGTACAAGAACTGTACATCTCTGTAGCTGTGTGCTGCCACTAATGTTACAACCTGAACACCCGCAGTTTATATATGTACAAATCTATTTTTTTAATTAAATTTAGTGTGTGTGGCTCATATTCAAGTACACTCTATAAACTGTCAATTACGGTACTTATCGGCTGTTAATGCAGCATAAGAGTTGACCTTTTTCAGTTCATTTGAATGTTTTTTTGTCTTTGTAGGGGTTCTGGGTTTTGTCCTGTCTTTGTGTTTCCTCCTGTTGTCAGTCACCTCTCGGTGTTTTCCCTCCTCCTGGTGTTCAGCCCTTGTCTCACCTGTGTTCAGTGTTAATCACTGCAGGTGTCTGTTAGCTTGTGTATGTATTCAGCTCCTTTGTGTCTTGTCATTTGTCTGTGGATTGTCCTTCCATGGTGTTCCGTCCTGAGCAGCTGCCCTGTCAGCGTTTTCTTTGGTTATTAGAAAATAAATATATTTAACTCTTTACGTGGAGTCTGCCTTCCTGCACGTGGGTTCAACACACTTCATGACAGATCTTGAGTCTTGTCATGTTTTTTAGGGCGGCTGTGGCTGAGTGGTTAGAGCAGTCGTCCTCCAATGCAAGAGTTGGGGGTTCGACTCCACCAGCAGTCACATGCTGAAGTGTCCCTGGGCAAGACACTGAACCCCTCACTGCCTCTGATGTGTGTCCCATCAGTGTCTGACTGTGATGAAGCTCTGATTAGTCTCTTTAGGCTGTATAAATACTGACCTTTTACCATTTTTAATAGTTTTTGTCTTCTAAAGTATTGTTGTAATTTGTTGTTTTGTGGGCAGCACTTGGGCCAATGACAGTTGTTTTTACATTTGCTATCTAAGTAAATATGATTTATAAAGGTTTATGAAGTCTGTAAACAAAGCTTTCACCCACCTTTGTAGTCATGATTGTATCGGTACAATGTTTGCTATAAATGGATGTGAGCTCATAAATACAGGTTGTATTTGCATGATTTATGTTGTGCGTGTGTTTGTGTGGATCCCCAAAGAAATTATTACTAGGACGGTCAATTAGCAGAAGAGTCATCCTCAGTTTATTGGATAGCACTGGTCTCCATTAGGTCATACTGTGTGCACAGATGTCACCCTCATTAAACTCCCATTTATCTTCCATAACAGGGGGTTCCTGACCAACACATAAATGGTTTAAGCTAGTTCGACACTGTGCAGCAGACGACTGTGTGTGCATTGGTCATGGCACTTTTGATCATGAAGTTGTTGAATAAAACGTGTTTTAACGTGTCCACGATGAGTAAAACCGTCATGTGTTCCTTCAGGCTGCTACCCCTGCCCTGGCCCCTGCCTCAATCCTATAGCTCTGGGAAGCCGCTGGCTCGCCTACGCTGAGAACAAGGTAGTGTACATACACACACATTCATCTGGTAACACAAGTGTCTTATCTGAGAGACGCAACATATTTACCCTGGGGAGAAAAAGAAAAAGCTTTTTATCTATTTTCTGCTACTTTAATCTGTGTGGATAAACAACTCATTCCAAGAAGAGTCCACTACAGATGATAACGTTTTTGAAAATCAACAGATGCTCAGGCATTTTCTGTTTAATGGGATTGTTAAGTATTTACAAAACCCAGTGTGTACTGCTGTGCACTCTGCAATACGTTTAATGCATAACTGTGCGTTTGTGCGGGGCCACTCAACTAATTGACAGATGGGCCTGCTGTTTGTGTGACTGACGAAAGATTTCCTGAAATGACAAACCCTTGCTTTATAAACAGAGCGATGTTGGGCCAGCGTGTTTCAAGTGATGTATTGGAAATTAAATGGGAGCAGATTGGCTGTTTGGCTTTGAAGACATACTTGTTTTAAGTAAAACCAATTTCCTTGAAAAGCAGCTGAATCTGGAACTTAAAGATATGAATCAGAATAATTTTCTCCAAATGTTTGTGTTTGTCTGCAGCCAGCCGCTGTGTCCTTTATTTGTACTGGTCTTTTTGCAGCTCATAAGATGCCACCAGTCTCGGGGAGGAGCTTGTGGAGACAATGCTCAGTCTTATGCAGCTACAGTCATCAGTGCTGCCAAAGTAAGTGACGGTAACTTCAAACGGCTGCTTGTCTTTCACATTTACACCTAAAATTTTATGTTTTAAACATAAATCATATGATACAATATTTTCTACAAAAATCTTTTTTAATTTTATTAATTCAGGCTTGTTCTTCCATTTCATCTACATTTCAGCAACTTCTTCTGCAGTAAGCAGCAAATGCAATTTGGAATGGAATAGAATGCCTTTATTGTCATTATACACGAGTACAATGAGATTGAAAGCCACTCCTTTTTCAGTGCAAACATGCTTAAAAACATACCTAATATATATATATATATATATAAAACATTCTATATATATATATATATATATATATATAAAAATATATATGCGTGTGCGTATATAGTAATAGGCATATATGTTGTTCTTGTTCATCCCTATAATAGGTTTGTGCCAGGGTGAGATCTACTGCCCTGTGTACTGTGTAAAGGGTTCCTAATTTTCACGGTAGTATTGTAATAAATCTGTGGGTCACACAGGCAGAAGATCTTGTCTACACTGTTAACACCGTCAGTATCAGGAGGTTAACCCAGCAATGTTCAGTCAGGTCATCTGAACAGTTGCTTCTTCTTTTTTTTTTGTTCTGAGACGTTTCTTCTTCCTTCCAGAAGTCTTCATCAGTCTGAGGAAAGACCAAACAAAACTGCTTCTCCCCCAGCAGCTTACTCCATACTGGAAACAAACAGTTATGTTGGTGCTAAGATGGTCTCGGGGGCACACCCTCTCCTGCGATGCCCACCCTCTTCCATATTATGAGTCCTCTTATGAGTCTACCAGCCTCAGGGTAGAAGCTGTTCCTCAGTCTAGTGGTTCTACACTTAATGCTCCTCAACCTCCTTCCTGAGGGGAGTGGGGCAAAAAGTGTGTGTGCTGGGTGAGTGCGGTCCTTCATGATGCAGGTGGCCCTCTTCCTGCATCTGGAGGTGTAGATGTCTGTGATGGTGGGGAGACTGACTCCAACATCTTCTGTGCAGCCTTCACCACTCTCTGCAAAGCTTTTCTTTCTGCAGCTGTGCAGCCTCCATGCCACACGTTGATGCTGGAGCACAGGATGCTCTCCACTGCACACCTGTAGAAGGAGGTGAGGACTGAGCTTCCAGACCAGCTCGTCTCAGCCGCCTGAGGAAGTAGAGTCTCTGATGAGCTTTCTTGATCAGGCTGGTGGTGTTGTTGCTCCAGCTGAGGTTGTGGTTCATGTGTACACCCAAGTACTTGTAGCTGGAGACCACTTCCACCGCAGATCGTCTTATGTTCGGGGTGGGTGGGTGGGGGGGTTAGTGTGTTTGTTCCCTCTGAAGTCCACGATGTAATCAGTCTAACATGCATGTTTTTGGTCTGTGGGAGGAAACCAGAGTACCTGGAGAAAATCCACGCAGCACTGAGACAACGTACAAAGGCCCCAAGCTGGGATTTGAACAGGCGACCTTCTCACTGAGAGGCAACAGCTCTACCAACTGAGCCACCGTGCCACCCTGATAAATCTATTGTTAGGGATTTTTCCACAATTACCCTTTGCTGTTGAAACTGTTGAAACTGTTGATTCAAGTTCACGACCAAATAATTTCTTCTGATTTTTCTAATGATTTTTTTTTTTTATGTCAGCAAAAAATTGTACAGTTTGAACCCAGATTAAGACAGCTCAACGTTTGTAGAACTTAGCAGACCTAATTACATCACCAAGGGCATCAACTTGCTCAGGGTACTATTGTGCCATCACTTTCATGTGGAAACATGTTTTTCCACAGGCTCACACGTTGCTGCTTTATGCTTATGACACATGATCTCATGCTGTTGTTAGCGTTGGGTTTAACTGTGCTATTCAAGCATCATTTCAGACTGGATTTCCAGCTGTTCTGACTCCATCTGGCACCTTATGAGACACTTAATCAACTATTTTTCTATTCTTCTTTTCTGGTCATTAAATTTTGATCAACTTGGTCCTCTCTGCAAATCTCCTCAAAGCTCCACGTTTGATATCACATGAACTTCACAGCTACATAAGTTGTTTGTCAATGTGGATTAACTAATTTTCTTCTCATAGTTTTAGATTGTGTAGTCCCCATTTAGTGCTACCTGAGGGACTAATTTATTTAAAGAGCATGTGTATCCAACAGCTAGTGTGTAGGTAATGTTATTAGGAAATGTATGACAGTGTACATCAAAAATAAGCTTTGTCCTCAGGAGGTTAAGAGCATCATCCTGAGTGGACGATGGCTGGAGTATTGATATGAAGACAGGCAGTCTGCACATGCACCATCTCCTCATTTAGGACCATATATCTCAATATAGATGACAAGGTATCTCGTTCTGGCTTGTGGCGCGACACGCTGGCTCTTAGTGCTGATGTCCAGAGACACGGAAGGGGGGGTGGGGGGTAGCATTCAAGTATAATGGCTTTTGTTTATAAGAAAGATTAAAGAGAGAGCACAAGAACCCGGAGCGGTAGAGCTTTTTTTTTCTTCTTACAGGAAGTCTGTGTCACACCAGGTCTGCTGCCAATGACTTCTGTGCAATTGATTGAGACAGATCTTTCACATAAATTAAACTGTAATTTGTTTAGATGGCGACATCAGGCTGTGTGTGTGTGTGTGTGTGTGTGTGTGTTTGTCAATCCTCAGACATAATCTGTCCCCCAATCCCAGCAGTAAATCAATAGTCCCTGTTTGGACTACCACGAAGAACTCCACAACTGCAGTGATTAGAAAACACATTAGTGTTGATCAATTAAGGGCCAAACGCCTCTCTTAATAATTGATGGCGTGCCTTGCATTTTACATACACTCAAATGTACACAGGCAGCAGACACTGTTAGTGTGCCTAGCCAAGTGGCAGAGAGAGACAGTAGGTGATCCTCAGACCCAACAAACGCGAGGCGCCACGCTGTATTGACAGGGCCGCCTAGTCTGAATGCTTGATTAGGCTCTCCAGGGCCTCTTTGGCGCTTACACACACACACAGACACTCAGTCACACGCATTGAACTCCATTAGACGAAGACAGTGTAGTAGGTGAGATAGACTCCACTTAAGCAGCACTATCCATTTCCCTCCACCAAGCCACAGAGGTGTGTTTGAGCCAGACACCCTGACTGGGCTTTAAGCTGACACAGAAGAGCTTCTCACATGCTCTGGTGTTTTCTGTGGCACAGGGCTGCACATAATCAGCACTCCAGGTCATCAGCAGACATTACGAAGACACACACACACACAGACTCACATCCTGCTGTGCACTTCCTCTTCTACTAGCCAGCTTTGAGGTTCATGTCCTGAGGAGCATTCAGACCTTGGGACATGGTCTTCAAAATATGTAATACTGTGAAATTAGTTTTTAGTGTGTTCCAGGTCCAAAAGCATTTGATATTTTAAAAATGGTTTAAAATAATGTTAATTAAAAAATAAAGCATTTCAATTTCTGCTCCTTATTCCTTTATTCTTGTTTGTTCTTTGTTCTTTATTCTAAGAACTGAGAAGGTATTCTGGCATGCTGACAATAAATGGATTAGATTTACAAAGTGCTTTTTAGAGCAGCACGGTGGCGCAACTGGTAGAGCTGCTGCCTCTCAGCGAGCAGGTCCCTGGTTCAAACCCCGGTCCAGGGGCCTTTCTGGGTGGAGTTTGCATGTTCTGTCCGTGCATGCGTGGGTTTTCTCCGGGTACTCCGGTTTCCTCCCACAGTCCAAAAACATGCATGTTAGGCTGATTGGTAACTCTAAATTGTCCCTAGGTGTGAATGAGAGAGTGAATGGTTGTTTGTCTCGTTTGTCTCTATGTGGCCCTGTGATGGACTGGAGACCTGTCCAGGGTGTACCTCGCCCCTCGCACAGTGATTGCTGGACATGGGCACCAGCGACCCCCGTGACCCAAAATGGAATAAGCGGGTAAAGAAAATGGATGGATGGATGGAAGTGCTTTTTAGATTGGTTATCCATAATAAACATGACAGCCAGTTTCAGCACCTTATGTTAACTTTAAAGTTCTTTATGAAATTAACCAGGTTTCAAAATGTCCTATAAAAGTTCAAACCAACACAACCAAAAAATGAATGTACTTGAATGTGTTGAAACATTAAAAATAATTGCCAGTTGAAACATGAAATTTATAAACGGAAAACCTGCAGGAACTGTGACACAACTGCACATCATCGGCCTGCTAGTAATTCAAAACTACTTCTCAATTCAGCTAGCTGGTAAAATCAATGATTCTCTTCTTCCTCCTCTTCTTGTTGTTGTTATTGTTATTATTAATATATGATACACACATTAAAAACATCAGTTTCACATGACTGTTTTGTTGTTGTTGTTGTTGTCCATCCATCCATCCATTTGCTTCTGCTTATCTGGAGTCAGGTCGCTCAGGTAGCAGCCTAAGTAGGGAGGTCCACACTTCCCTCTCCCCAGCCACTTGGACCAGCTTCTCTGGGGGAATCCCAAGGTGTTCACAGGCCAGCCAAGAAACATTGTCCCTCCAGCGTGTCCTGGGTCTTCCTCTGGGTCTCTTCCCAGTGGGACATGTCCGGAACACCTCACCAGGGAGGCGTCCAGGAGGCATCCTAACCAGATGCCCGAGCCACCTCAACTGGCTCCTCTATGTGGAAAAGCAGTGGCTCTACTCTGAGTCCCTCTCGGATGACCAAGCTTCTCACCCTATCTAAAAGGGAGAGCCCAGACGCCCTGCGGAGAAAACTCATTTCAGCCGCTTGTATCTGAGATCTCGTTCTTTCGGTCACAACCAAAGCCCATGACCATAGATGAGGGTAGGAACGTAGATCGACCGGTAAATCAAGAGCTTCGCTTTCTGACTCAGCTCTTTCTTCACCACCACAGCTCTCGCTTCACTGTAGACACCGCACCTATCCACCTATCGATCTCTCGCTCCATTTTTACCTCATTCGTGAACAAGACCCCAAGATACCAAGATACTTGAACTCCTCAACTTGGGGCAGGACCTCCTCCCGACCGAAAGAGGGCACTCTACCCTTTTCTGGCTCAAGACCATGGCCTTGGATTTGGAGGAACTGATCCTCATCCTGGCCATGTCACACTCCGGCAAAAGCTGTAGATCACGACCTGATGTAGCCAATAGGACCACATTATCTGCAAAAAGCAGAGACGTGATACTAAGGCTACAAAAATGGATCCCCTCAACACCTTGGCTGCGCCTAGAAATTCTGTCCATAAAAGTTATGAACAGAATTGGTGACAAAGGGCAACCTTGGCAGAGCCCAATTCTCACCGGGAACGAGCTCGATTTACTACCAGCAATGCGGACCAAGCTCTAACACCAGTCATACAGGGACCTAACAGCCTGTATCAAAGGGCCTGGTACCCCATACTCCTGGAGTTCTCCCCACAGGGTTCCCCACAGGGTTCCCCAAAGGACGCGGCCAAATGCCTTCTCCACGTCCACAAAGCACATGTAGACTGGTTAGTCAAATTCCCACGCACCCTCCAGGACCCTGCTGAGGGTGTAGAGCTGGTCCAGTGTTCCACGACCAGGACGAAAACCGCATTGCTCCTCCAGAATCTGAGGTTCGACTATCCACCGGACCCTCCTCTCCAGAACCTCTGAATGGACCTTACCAGGAGTGTGATCCCCCTGTAGTTGGAATACACTCTACGGTCCCCCTTTATGAATAGGGGGACCACCACCCCAGTCTGACAATCCAGGGGAACTTCCCCCAATGTTCACGCAATATTGCAGAGTCGTGTAAACCAACACAAACTCTCAACATCCAGAGTCTTAAGGAACTCCAGGTGAATCTCATCCACCCCTGGGGCCCTGCCACCGAGGAGTTTTTTAACCACCTTGGTGACCTCAGCACCAGAGATTGGAGAGCCCGACCCAAAGTCCCCAGGCTCTGCTTCCTCAGTGGAAGACGTGCTGGTGGGATAGAGGAGGTCTTCGAAGTACTCTGCCCACCGACCCACGACGTCCCAAGTTGAGGTTCTCAGCATGCCACCCCCACTATAAACAGTGTTTAGTGGCGTACCGCTTCCCCACCGAGACGCTGGATGGTGGACCAGAATTGCCTCTAAGCTGTATGGAAGTCATTCTCCATGGCCTCTTCGAACTCCTCCCACGCCCGAGTTTTTGCCTCAGTGACTATCTGAGATGCATGCCGCGTGGACTCCCAGTACCTATCAGCTGCTTCCAGTGTCCCACAGGCCAAAAAGGCCTGATAGGGCTCCTTCTTGAGTCTGACAATATCCCTTACCACCAGTGTCCACCACTGGGTTCAAGGGTTGCCGCTGCAACAGGCACCGACAACCTTGCTGCCACAGCTCCGATAAGCTGCCTTGACAATGGAGGCGTGGAACATGGCCCACTCTGACTCAATGTCCCCCACCTCCCCCAGAACGTGTTTTGAAGTTCTTCCAGAGGTGGGAGTTAAAGCTCCATCTAACGGGAGACTCTGTCAGATATTCCCAGCAGACCCTCACAATAAGTTTGGGCCTGCCAGGTCTGAGTGGCATCCTCTCCTTCCATCGGAGCAAACTCACCACCAGGTAGTGATCAGTGGATAGCTCCACCCCTCTCTTCACCCGAGTGTCCAAGACATGCAGCCGCAGATAAGTTGAGATGACAACAAAGTTGATCATCGAACTGTGGCCTAGGGTGTCCTGGTGCCCAAAGCACATATGGACACCCTTATGCTTGAACATTGTTGTTGTTGTTGTTGTTGTTGTTGTTGTTGTTGTTGTTGTTGTTGTTGGTATATGATGCACACATTTAAAACACTAGTTTCACATGACTGTTTTGTTGTTGTGTGTTTCTTTCAGACCTTGAAAACAGGCCTAACAATGGTGGGGAAAGTTGTTACTCAGCTGGCGGGCACTGTCCCAGCCGGAACCCCGGATGAGGAGGGGTCCCCTCACAGTGTGAGTCGCCGCAGCCCCCACAGCCCTGGCGTGGTCACCATCATCGACACAAACAGTGTTGGTGAAGGACAAGTGAGTTTGATGCTCATATACTTCAGTTGTTAGGGGGGGTCTGAGACATTTTAATGTGTTTTTATGGTTTCTCTGTCTATAGAGAGGTTTTAGTCCCCTTCTTTTGTCATTTGACAACATTTCTGAGATTTTTCTAATAATTATTCCCTGCCCTATCTTTTTTATTTACAGTTGCCCTAATATGCCATTGTATTTATCAGAGGCAAGCAAACCACAATTTTAAATATTTTTAAAAATCTAAATAGCTTCTTTAAGTTATAAGATACAGTATGAACAGTGACGACTGGTATCAGTGGGCTAGGAGGGCTAAGCCCTCCCTGTCTGGCATTTACAATAAATATTTTAAAGAACACAACTTAAAAATAACAACTTAAAAATGAATAAATATAATAATGAATAAATATTAGAAATAATGTCACATTTTGAGGGCAGCACGGTGGTGCAACTGGTAGAGCTGCTGCCTCTCAGCGAGCAGGTCCCTGGTTCAAATCCCGGTCCAGGGGCCTTTCTGGGTGGAGTTTGCATGTTCTCTCCGTGCATGCGTGGGTTTTCTCCGGGTGCTCCGGTTTCCTCCCACAGACCAAAAACATGCATGTTAGACTGATTGGTAACTCTAAATTGTCCCTAGGTGAGAGAGAGAGAGTGAATGGTTGTTTGTCTCGTTTGTCTCTATGTGTCCCTGTGATGGACTGGAGACCCGTCCAGGGTGTCCCCCTCCCCTCACAGAGTGATCGCTGGACATGGGCACCGTTGACCCCCGTGACCCAAAATGGAAGAAGCGGGTAAAGAAAATTGATGGATGTCACATTTTGTTAAATTTACAACGAAACTGGTGTCAAATCGCCTGGAAAAAATCCCAGGGTCGTTCCAAAGGGCTAAACTGTGACAGCCCCGTTCTGTTTCGTTCCTTCATGGTTCAGAATTATTGACAGACGAGGATATTCAAATCGAGCAAAGAGAAAACCGTGCTGAACTTGGACGGATATGAATTCAGCTCAGTCCAAATAATATCAACCTGCCTTTATTTCTCTTATAGTTCCCTCTGCGTTGTGTTTAATGACCAGAAGACGAGTGTTGAACTGAATGATGTTTAATCTGCTCAGAATCATCACAGCAGCACCTCCCGTCCTCTCATTGAATGGAGCTGCTGCTGAACATTACACCTGGAACAAACACCTGTCTAAACAGAGCTCATACATGCACAAGAGAGTTCTTTAAATGATTTATCAAAGGTTAGAAATATGATCAATTTGTAAACAACAGTCAAATAAAACTTGCTCAGACACGTCCAATCAGAAGTGCAGGAGGGTGGAGCACGTTGTATTTAAACAGACAAAAATCAGCTGTTCCGACCGAAACTTTTAAACAATCTGCTTCTCACTCACTCCTTCCTGAAAATTAACACCAAACAAAAGTGAATCTCTCACTGGTTTGACTTTACGTGGGAAAAGAACGAGTCTGAAATAAATCAATTTCACCTATTTCATACGAGGAAGAGAGATCTGTCAATAATAAAAATTAAAAATGTCCAATGAAAAGTCCATAGTTATGCGCTCAAATATATCAAGGTACAAAAAATAAATTTGTTGGGCTCCATTCACCAGTGTTGTTCTTTTAAAACAAAAAGAAACAGATAAGGCAACGTGTCACCGGGTCAGCGTTTCTATTCCTTCTCCAGGCCTGGTGGAGCGCACTCCGCCAGAGACCGCAGGAACCAGACCGAGCCGTGCCCCGTGTGGCGGTTAGATGAGTTGAATATGAAGTCCTCCTGAACCCTCCAGTTGGTCAAACTTCACCATGAAGCCCCAAACATCAGCTCTGCTGGGCAAACTCTGGAGCTCCACCTGCTTCACCTGCCACACCACCCTGCTGTCAAACTCGTGTCTCTTTTATAAGTTCGGGAAAACTGTGACTCACTTTTCTCCCTGGACTTTGAGGATAAAATACATCTACAAGACATTCTTGCATCTATAATAATACAAACGTTTTATTTGTATTTCATTTATTTAGGTTTTATTCTTTGTGGTAAACTCTTTTTAAAT